TATATATATATTTTAAATAATAGTTTATTTTTACATCATTTTGTGTATTTTTCCATCTCAGTTGTAATCCCCTTGGGCTTCCCATCACCAAATCACCCATGTGCCATCACCACAATCTATATTTTTTTAAGATTTATTTATTTATGCATACAGAACTGGGCAGTGAGAGGATTCACCAGAGACAGAGTGGAAAGCAGAACAGGCAGATCGATAAAGTACACTGCTGAGGGGAGTAGTGGGCATGTCAGGAGAGGTCTGCTGCACCATGTGGGTCACCTCTGGGGCCGGGGATTGAACTCATGATCAAGTGGCTTTATCTCTTAGTGCTATGCTTTAACCTGCTGCGCCACTGGGAGGGCCACTTTAGTTATTTTTTTTTAAGATTTATTTTATTTATGCATATAAGAGATGGGGTACAGACCAGAAGTGCAGGGGGAAAGGGGTTTAGTATTCACCAAAGACAGAGTGGGGAGCAGAACAGGCAGATATACTGAAATATACTGCTGAGGGGAGCAGCGGGCGGGTCAGGAGAGGGCTGCAGCACCACATAGGTTGATTCCATGCTGCAGGGACTTGGATAGCTCCATAGTGCCACGACCCAACCACTTGTGCCACCAGGGAGACCCCTCCCAACCCACATTGTGCCATGATGTTGTTTGTGGGAAGAATCCCGACCCCAGATTGAGAGTGTGCCCCTCTCTACAAGGCTGAGAGCCTCTGAATGAAAGGGCCCAATATGGGAAGGGGGCTTGGTAGGCCAACCCAAGAAGTGAAGTTTGAGTGAGATCTAAAGGGTTTGGCCAGGTGAGGGGGAGAGGAGGCACACCCTAGGGAGAAATCACTCAATGAGTGTCATAGAGCTGGACACAGAGCACTGGGTCCAGCCCGCCTATGCTTGGGCATCATCTGCTTGTCCACATGCATGGATCTCCCATTAAAACACGTCTCCTGATATGTATAAATCCAGAGCCTCTCATGGTCCTCAAAGACACCCAGATACCGGGCAGTGGGACAGAGCACCTGGTCCTGAGTGCCTACTTGCCACTTGCCCCATCACCTCTGAGTCTCAGTGTCATCATCTAGGAAATGGGGACATGATTGCTCTCTTGGATGGACTGCCATGAGGAGGGAATGAAATCATGCCAGCTGGTCCTAGGACCAGCTCCTTCTAATCACCACACACAGCTGCTCTAAGGTGGTGTCCTTAGCCCTGAGCTTCAGGCTCAGAGTGGGGAACTCAGAGAGGGAAACTGCCCTCACTGGACAACCTCACCCTGTTCCCCGGGCACCCACTCCCTCCCAGTAGCCTTCTGCCCTTGGCTCCAGCCTCCATGACTGAAGTGGTGTCTCTGTGCTTCTATCCGAGCCCTAACAGATACACACAGCAAGCAAGTGGCAGACAGAGGTGACCCAGGGCTTTTTCCACAGGCTCCCAAGGCTAGTGTCAGTGGTTACTAGAAAACTTCGCAGAGCTCAGAACTCAGGCAGACCAAGGGGGCCAGGATCTAGCTGCTGCCATGCTGCCTGGAGCAGGCTAGGGGAGGGAGCGGCCAAGCTAGCTTGAGGGAATTAGCATCTGTCTCATTCTGACATGGGACATCAGGAATGTGGAAGGGCCCCAGCAAGCACGTGCCTGCCAGGGATGCAGGCAGGGAGGGGGCACTGGGTGGGCAGCTGAACTCCTTCTGGCCCCCAGGACCTGCCAGGCAGCAGCTGTCCCTGTCACTCTAAGTGAATTGGCACTGGTCTTCCACATGCACAGGACCTGCTGGAAAGCTGGCAAGGGAGGGGAGGGGTACTCAGCTCCCTTCTCAACCTACATCCTTGGGACTTGGCCCATCACATTTCCCTATTAAGGAAGAACATTTCCCATTTCACTATTAAGCAGGAAAAAGAATCTACCTGGTGAGGATGTGGTAAGGGGGCGTGGTGGGTGATTGAGACTGGCCTAGAGTGGCTCGTTGCTGGAAAGTGCACAGTGGTGCTCAGGAGTCATCCTTTGTCCTTTCCTCCCACGTGGGCTCTGAAGGGGCTGCCTCTCTGCAAGTGGCTGGGCTGGTGAAGGACATGATCACTGGCCAATGACCTTCTAGTTGTGGGAGTGGGGCTTAGAAGTTTGGGGATCCCAGGAAGTCAATAAGAGGCCTTGAGTATAGTAGTAACAATGCCCAAGTCCTACTTTTGGAAGCTGCTACAAGACCCACCTGCAGAGGAATCTGGGAAGGGATGGTGGAGAGCATGAGCTGGGAGGGGACACTCAGATCCCCTATTAAGACTGGAGCACCAGTTACCAGAGGAACACTTCGCATATCCTGTGAACTCTGCATCATCCTCTCCCCGACTCTCAGGCTAACTCCTGCCTAGGAAGAAGGCAAGTCAGGAGCTCCCCTACTCATATTGGCCAACAAAGTAGGGACAGTGGAAGTGGTAGAATTTGAACCTTTTGGCTTCAAAACCAGTGTTCTTGGGCTCCTGAGAGCCCAATGTTCCCATTGTTTGGGAACAACTCTGACTTAACCTGGTGCCATCTGAGAGGGGTTCTCTTGGAGGAAGTGCAGTTTTGCAGAGAAAGATACTTCAGTTTGGGACAGGGTGAGTTAAGAGTGCATGATGGGAGACGCAAAGTGGGGAGAGGAGCATGGCCATGAGTGGCTGCTCAGTCTCCCATGGTGACCCCAGCCCCAGCCCCTATATCCAATCCCTCTGAGCCTTTGCATTTTCAATCACCAACCCCTGGGGGCCTATGTAGGAATCCAGATGGTTTCCACAAAGGGAACCCAGAACAGGGCAGGAGAGCACCGGGCACTCCTGGGTCAAGCATGCTCATCTATTGGTTCAAAGGTTCAGGAGCTAAAAGCAGTAGATACTTCAGGGATGGAACCAGGGAAGATTCCAGGCTAAGAGCCCTGGAAGCTGATCCGCCCCCCCCCTGCCCCTAAAGAGGGCGTCTGAGAACAGGCCATGACGACATCCCCAGGGGAGGACCAGGCAGGCAGGGACAGCTGCAGCGCAGCCGGGCGGCAACCAGCTGCTGCCCGGGAGACTGGCCAGCGTGAGGCGGGGCGGGCATGGCCCCACAAGCCCCTAGCCTGAGAGGCAGAGCGTGGGAGCAGGCTGCAGCCCGGGCTGAGTTTCAGGCTTTCATGCTGTGTTAACGGTCAGCTCAGCAGATGGGTGGGGGGGGAGGGGAGCTGCCAGCATCCTTGGGGACAGTCCCAGGTCATGTTCACGCATGTGCAGAGGACAATGGAGTCTCTCCAGTGGATGGTGCTGTGTGGACTTCTCTGCCCAGGAATTACCCTGGCTCACTTCACATCATCACATACACAAGATGGTACCAGAAAGACTAAGCGAGAGCGCATAGGGCCCGGTACACCTGGAGGTGAATGCAAGCCTAAAACTTGATAAACTTCAGTCTGTGTCACCCAGGCAGCACCAGAGTTTGGGGAACCCCCCCCCCCCATTTGCCCTTCATTTGCTGCAGGGAAGACACCAGGCACACAGAGGTTTACTTCAAAAAAATAATAATAATAATTTATAAAAGGCCATTGGCTTGTTTTGGGCAGGTCTCTCAGCAGGGACAGGCCAATGTGCCTTCACCCAAGATGTCGGGACAAGCAGCAGAGGGGAGGTGGGAAGGCCTGAGGAGATGAGATTCTAGACCGCAGACCTCAGTTGGTGCAGGGAAGCAAGAAGTTTAGAAAAGCCCTGCAGCCGTGTCCAGCCAGACCCCGGGAATCAGGCACGAGTGCTAAGGCCCACACAGAACCTTAACACACTCAGGCGTCTGGAACCCTGGGACTATGGCTCCAAGGGCTTAGGGCCTTGTCAAGGACTGAAACCCAAGACCAGAGCAGGAAACCTCACCTAGGTTGAGGACAGACCTCCCCAAAGAGGAACGTTTCAGCACCGGAGATGAGTGCTTGGGGCTACTGAGGTCAAACAGCCTCAGCTGAGCCAGGAGGGCTGAGGTCTCTGGCTGGGCCTGGCTGCCCACACACATCCCGCCCTTGCTCATGTCTGCACCTTGGGAAAGGGGAAGGAGCTGGACCCCAGTGGCAGGGGATCGTGGCTGAAGACAGAGTCGTTGGAGGAACAGGTGCTACTGGAGTCCCCACTGGCGGGGGAGTAGGGTCCAAAGGTCAGGCGCAGATCCAGGTACTGCAGGGAACAGGGCTGGTCAGTCCTGGTGGTCAGCATGGAGGAGGCCCAGAGGAGAGCAGGCAGAGGGAAGTCACAGGGGCAGGAGGGGAGCAGTACCTCTTCTGAGACGGCCAGCAGGACCTTGTCCAGTGCCTCCACCAGCTGCTTGAAAGTGGGCCGCTGAGAGGGTGCTGCATGCCAGCACTCACGCATCAGCCCATACCTGGGGAGGGGGTGAGAGTCAGAGGCAGCCCAAGTCCTGGGGCAGGGGGGAGCACTCGGGGACCCTGGGGGAGGGTCTCCGAGCCTTGGGTGCAGTGTGTCAAGAGGAGCAGCTGTGTGATTTTATGGAAGGGCACAGAAGCCAGACCAGGACCCTCCTGCCCCTTCTCCCCCACCCACCCCCCAACCAGGCTGAGGAGGTGGCAGCTTCAGTGGGTCCTGCTGGTCCCGCCCCAGGGCCAGACCCCTCAGCGTAGAGGATGGGGGCAGGAAGGGGTGAGCGGGGGTGAGGCCTCACAGCTCTGGGGGGCAGTTTGGAGGCCGGTCCATGCGATGCCCCTCCCGCAGCAGTGAGAACAGCTCCTCCACAGGGATGCCAGGGTACGGGGAGCCCCCAAGGGTGAAGATCTCCCACAGCAGGATCCCAAATGACCACCTGGAGGCAGGATGGGTGCTCAGCAGGGCACAGATTGGCTACTCACTCTTGAGGCTGGTGTGGTGACCCCACAGGAGTGGGGATTGGGGTTTCTTTTGGAAAATGATCAGTCAGGTCCCATGGTGGTATGACCCTGGGCAAGTGCTTTCCCCTTTCTGTGGGGTAGGACAATCATGGCCACAGACACCCTAAACCCCAACTTCTGGGACTCACACATCACTCTGGTGTGTATAGACTCGGTCAAATAAGGCCTCGGGTGCCATCCATTTGACAGGCAGGCGGCCCTGGATGGAAAGGGGCATTGGTACCAAATCCACAGGTCCCAGTGCTCCCGCCCCTATCTGGCTCTGCCCTGTCTCTCTCACATTGCTGGTTTTCTTATAGTAGTCAATGTGGTGGACGCCACGGGCCAGCCCAAAGTCAGCAATCTTCATCACGTTGTCCTCGGTCACCAGCACGTTGCGGGCAGCCAGGTCCCGGTGGATGCACTGAGGGCAGGGATCATGTACCCATTTTATAGATGAGGAAGTCAAGATTCAGAAAGGAGAACCTACCTCCTCACTTGCTCTGCACACATATGAAAAGAAGGAATGGGAACATACCATGTCAACTGTATACTGACTGGGAATACAGAGGATTCGGGAATTCAGAGAGGGTACAAAGGGAGAAAGGAGAAACGGGAGACCTTTAATGCCAAGGCCATGAACGTGTGGAGATGGAGCAGCTGAGAGGATCCAGAGCGCTAAAACAGCCCTTACCTTCTGAGACTCCAGATACTGCATGCCTCGGGCCACCTGGTAGGCGCAAGAGACCAGGGCAGGAAAGGACAGCGGCCCTTCACTGCTCCGAGGGCCCTCGGGACTGAGGTCGGGGCCTGGGGGGCGGCGGGCCCGCAGGAACTCCCGCAAGTTTCCTTTGGCAGCGCACTCCACAATCACATACAGGGGGCCTGTGTCGGCAGGAGTACAGGGAAGCTGCTGAGGCCGTACCCTGCACCAGCCACCCTCACCCGACCCCACCCCACCCCACCCACCTTCCTGGGTGCAGACACCCAGCAGGTTGATGATGTTCTTGTGTCGGCCAATCAGCTTCATCACCTCCATCTCGGAGACCAGGTCTGCCAAGTCCTTGTCAGAGGCGTTATCTGCAGGGTGACAGCCATGGGACTATGCCAAGGAGGCCTCTGGGTCGGGGACAGCATCTCACCTGAATGCTCGCGAGGCTGTGTAGTCTCGAAAGTCTCTTGAACCTATTCCTCTGAATGATATAAAGTGACGTGAACCAATATTATCTCAGATAGAAAGCCAGAAAGAGAAAGAGAGGGAGGGAGGGAAGAATAAAAGAAAGAAGGAAAATGTCTCCTAAATCAGGCTCCTCTTGCATGAAAGGGGGCAAAGGTCATATCCCACCCCCTCCTAGGAACTGCAAAGATGCCATGAGATCATGGCTAGTCCTGACCCAAGAAACAGGACAGAGGGACGAGCTCTGAACAGGAGAGAAGTTCCGTGCGGGTGGCTTGGCATTAGTCCCTGGGGGCAGGAAGCAGGCTGGCACCTCAAGGTCTGTCTGACCAGACCTGGAGTCCGTCTAGCCAGGGAATTCAGGAAGCTGCCAGAGAGCTGCAGCTAGGAAAGGTCAGGAAGAAATGGCTTTGGACTCTTTTGAGAAGGCTGAGGACAAAGAGCTGGGCTCCTAGAACTTGTCTGTGGCTCTGGGCCAATGATGAAGCCTCCCCACTGGATCTCACAATGAACATTTCTCAATCTTTGCCTCCCACAAAGTACCAGGTGGCCCCAGCTGTGCAGAGGAAAAAGGGGGAAACAGAACAGCTATTTGGGCCACTCTTGTGGAGAAGGAGGGGGACAGTAACAAGGGGCCTGACGGTGGGTCTCAGGTTTGCCCTGAGTTCCTTGGGGTTGCTGCTTGGAGACTGGGGTGGCACTTTAGCAGAAGACCTGCTTTCCTACAGTGGTGGACATGAGGACAGGTCTGAAAAGAGCATGGGGGAGACTGGGGGTGTGACTTCAGGGGGGCAACCAAGGAGAAGGAGATGGAGGGCCTTTGAGGCCAGCAAGGCTATTTGAGGTCACAACTGACAGGGAGGAACCAAACCCCCCACCCCATATCATCGTAGTCATTATCACCTCCACAGTTAAGGTACAATGCATCAGACTCTTCCTGGGAAGCGAGGGCTGGAAGGTGGAGACTCCTTTACTCAGGTGACACATGGGGAAACAGGCTCAGATGTGACTTGCCAGGGCCAATAGCAGTTGGGCTTCAGCAGCCTCTCTTGGCCCCTCGTGCTCACTCAGTAGCATCATGAGCCCCTTCTGTAAGTCCCAAGACCATAACGTCTCCCCCAGGCCAAGACACTCACCCTTGAGCATCTTGACAGCCACGGTGCTGGTGTGGTCAGGCTGAGCAGGATCCATGCCGAAGGCCTCTGCACGGACCACTTGTCCAAAGCACCCCTCACCTAGGGGTTTCCCAAGCACCAGCCTGGAAATGGAGAAAGCCCAGAACTCCGCTACCAGGTCCTCATCCCTGCCTGCAGCCTGCGCTCCCGTCCTCACACTGTTCAGCATACCTGTCCCGGGGGAACTCCCACAGCGGGTCAAGAGGTATATCTACACTCACAAGGCCGGCGAGCAAGGGGGGGCCGCTGGAGGAGAGACGGACACCTCTCACCAGGGACAAGCTGGACTTGGCTGAGGAACCTGACTCCAGAGAGAACTGCAAAGTGGAAGACTTGGTTGGTCTATTGGGGCCGAAGGCCTCACTACACAGAGTGGGATGTGAGGGACAGGAATGGCACGGTACCTGTCGGGCCAGAGGGAAGCGAGACAACTTCTGTACAGTGGCTGGCTGGCGGGGGTGCCGGCCTTGGAGCAGCTGCCCACGGTACAGCCCGGCCAGCAGCAGAAGCACAACCAAAGCCAAAGAGCCCAGTGCATACAGGACGATGTCTGTGTACCTGACCTCGGGTGCGGCCGCTGTCCATACAAGGTCCTCCTCTGCCCGCAGATGGACACACGCACACACACACACACACACAGAATTGGCTGCTTAGTGGTTGAGGGTTGGCTCCACACCCTCTGATTCAGGCCTGCACAACCCCCAAAATATACAAAGGGACATGCAACAACATAGCTACATTTTACGCAGCCCCCATGCCCAGATTCCAGAGGGTAGCACTAGCGCTAACAGCCACATGTGGACCCCCAGACGGATGACCACACGTAGAATCCAACACATGTCCATAGGCCACATCCCAAGTCTGGAACCCACAAGCCAAGGGAGACCATCCACCTAACATATCACAGCAGGATCCTGTAGCCTCCTCTGGCCCCCTGGGGTGCTCACCTGACAGCACTGTGAGCCACGCTGACTGGTAGGAGAGGCCAATGGAGTTGCCTGCCAGGCAGGTGTACTCGCCTGCATCTTCGGCTGAGACGTTCCGCAGGTACAGGACCTCCACCTCTGAGCTGTTGATGTCTGCTGTCTGGGATGGGGAACACATTCGGGTGTAGTAGGGCCTGGGCCACACTGGCCAGGAGGGGAGCTGGGACCACTCTTCCCGCCCTATGGGAGACGGGTGGGGGCAGGTGCCGGCAGGGACTAGACCTTCAGGACTTGCACGTAGGGAAAGCCATCAGCGCCGAAGCTGCTGCCGTTGATGACGATGTGCTTCAACCACTGGATGTGGGGCTGGGCGTCGCTGTACACCTTGCACAGCAACTCCACATCGCTGCCTGCCACCGCTGTGGTGTTGGCAGGGAGCCCCGCCTGCAGGATGGGCCGGTGCGGGGACCGCTCTGGGGGCCAGGCCGAGCCGTCAACCCTGACCAGTGGTACCCACAGAAGTACCCTGATCACCTGCCTCCAGCCACCACCCAGCTCACGGGCCTTACTCCTGATACCAGCTCGGACCTTACTTGTCCACTGTTTACTCTGATTAAACATTCCATGGCTCCCTATTGCTTTGGGGGCAAGTATACCAACTCAGACAAGCATTCACACCCCAGGCACACACCTCCTCATAAATGCACTGCTTTTATACCTCAGCCAGTACCCTCTGCCCAGATGTCTTTCAGCTTTCTTTGCAATCAGCCCCTGCTCCTCTAGGTCCACATTATTCCCTGAGCTCCCTCATGACCCACTTGGCCATTTTGAGCAGCTAGAGTCAGATAAAACGGTCTCCTGGCCTGGGCCCCACCCAGGGGCAGGGGCAGGGGCAGGGCCCCCACCCCGCATGCCTTGCCTGCCCATCCGCTCACCCAGCACATCCAGAAGATAGCTGTAGCGGATGCTGCCCATAGAGTTCTCCACCAGGCAGGTGTATGTGCCTCGGTCCGAGGGCACCACGCTTTCCATCACCAGGCTCCAGTGCTGATGGCGCAGCTGGGAGAGAGGGAAATGTCCATGAGGGGCCACCAATCCACAGCAACCCTGGGGGCCAGGGCATGAGGCTAGATCCTGACCATTTGGGCCTTCCCAAGTCTTCAGGTCCTGGGGAGGTCAGACCAAGGCCAAGGGCCTTGTGATAAAGCAGAAGACATCAAATATCTCAGCCTTGGGTTTGAGTCTTTGAGTTTTAACTGTCTCTCCTTCTAGCTTTGCTACCTGGAACTGGTGGTCTTTGCCTCGCCGAGTCTCAGCTTCTTTTCTACAACCTATAGCTCACCTGCAGAGTCTCCCTCAAGGTGAATGAGCTGCTAAAACTTACTGATAATCTGCTGATCACTGAGCCTTCCCACTTCACAAATGGAGTTGCTATGGCCAAGAAGTGGTCAGGGGCTGGAAGGTGGCAGAGAAGGAACCTGTGCCAGATCTGCCCAAGTCTATGGTCTAGGACTCTTTCCAGTGCCCTGCAACCACTTTGCTCATTAAGGAAGTGGGCCTGATAGCTTCAAGAGGGTGAAGGGGAGAGTGAAAACGGAGAAGCAGATGGCCCTGGAACCCAGAGACTCACACGAATGCCACCAATGCGATGCTCCCCATGGAAGTCCTGTCCATCCTTGAGCCAGCGGATGGTGGGTGTGGGGTTGCCTGCAGCTGGACAGCGGAACTTGACAGTGTTCCCAGCAGGCACTGCATGTAGTTTCTTCTCCATGCGCTGGGGGTGTGTCCAGTAGGGTGCTGAAGCGGGGGCGTTGGGATAACTTAGTGCCCCAGGATGAACACCTGTTTTCATACAGGTCTCTTCTCAGGGCAATAAATCCTTGTGAACTCATACTGACCTTGCTGGGGGTAAATATGCCCATTTGAGGGGTCTCTGTGGTCCTTGGGGTCCTCATCACCATTGCTGGAGGTTGAGGAGTCTATGTCATGGACAAACAGAAGCCTCTAAGGTCTAGAACCAGGGGCCTCTCTCCCTGCCCCTCACCCCCTGCCAGACTTTACCGTCCACAACCAAGGTGAGATTGTGCAGGACAAGCATGGAGCCTCGTGCCAGGCAGAGGTAGCGGCCAGCATCCTGGGGTAGAAGGCTGGCGATCTCCAAGCGCCCCCTCCAGCCTCGTACTCTGCCAGCAGGTGCCAGGCGACTGCCCTCCTTGTACCAGTGGCCACTACGCTCAGCCCGTCCACAGCAGAGCCGCACAGGCTGCCCTAGGGCCATGGTCAGCTCTTGCTCTTGCTGCTCTGGGCTAGGGGCCAGGCAGGGCTCTGTGGGCCAAGGACAGAGGTCAGTGAGTCCCACTGTCTCCTGCATACAGAGGAATTGACTGCACATGCAGGGCACAAGCATCTCACAACACATGCTGGACACCTGTTGCTCCTAATACACATAACCTCATGCCACCGATGCTACACGCAGGGCAAACAGCACACCGCTGGTACACGTCACACATGCTGGGCTGGACATGCCGCTGCTGAAGACAGATACACACACACACTTCACATGCTGTAGGTGCCACCCTTGGGCACACGTCACACCTTGGGGGCACATCAGACACCAGCAAATACACCACACATGCTGTATGGTGTACCGCTTCCCCAAGCCACAGACCTAGCACACACACGCACACACACAAACGGCTCACCACCAGCTCTGCAGCCCAATGAGGGCCCTGTGCCCTGCAAGGCCAATCCTCTCTCATGGATACACAGATATGTGGATGTTTGCTGGGAGCCAGACACTGAGTCTCAGTGGTTGGACCCTGAGCCCTGCTGCCACTTCTTCCAAGCCTGCGCAGGACCTGTTCCAGTTCTACTCGGCCAGCAGCCCCCTCCGGAGCCCGCCCCCGCCATCCTCTCCCACCTTAAAGGCCATACCCAGCTCCATTTCTTCAGAGGCCTCAAAGGACAAAGCTGGAGCCCTGGGCACCCCCAGCAAGACCCCCAATAGGGCCAATAGCAGCTGCATCTCGTTCCTGCTGCTGTTCAAAGGCATCCAGGGTGGGCTTCTGCAGATGGCTTTCCTACAAAGGGGGAGAGAGAAGAGCTCCTATCACACAGGCATGCTGGCACTATTCCCCTATTTTGCAGATGAGGAAACTGAGACAGGAAGGGGCCTGCAGACTTGTCCAAACGACGCCCACCGCCCTCCTGTCCCCCCGCCAGGCAGCAGCAGGGAAGAGACTGAAAGCAGCTCTGAAGTTGCCAAAGACCAAGGCACCAAACTACAGTCGGTTGTGCACAGGGGGTGGGTTGGGCTTCCTCTTCTTGGTCCCGCTGAGGCCAAGAACTTGTGAGGCACAAGTTCACAGAAAGGGCCATTCTGGGATTCTTTCCTCAGAGGAAAGCAGAGAACAGAGACATAGCTTCTGCTTGCTCTCTGCACACATAATTTATTTTTTTGCTGAATAAATGAATTTATTGCTGAAGAGCCAAAAAAGAAAAGATTTGAAACATAATACATGGCCAAACTTCAGCATCTGGATGTTATCTGATCTGACCCAGCCCCTTATAGCACTGCTGACATTTCCAAAAGCAGTGGTGGATACCTCCAGTGGCAGGGCCCTCAGTACCGACAAGGTAGCACCTGTCCAGCAGTTCTTCCTCATTCCAAACCAGTTCGCATCTTGGGGATACCTATTTTCTGTGCCTCCTCAAGTTCATCTGAGGCAGCCTAGGCTTTTGAGTTCACCAGAGTCAAGCTCAAATCCTGTCTCTTTCTAACTTGTAAGTCCCTTTCCCTCTCTGGGCTATTTACTGTCCTCACAGGACAGTTCTGCAGGGCAAGAAAGCAATGTGTGTAGACACACATGATGTCAGAGTGTTCTCCCTGAACTCTCCTCGTGACAGTGCTCTGGCTCTATCCTAGGTCAGCATCTGGTTCCAGTGTGGTCCTGGGTGAGGTGTCACGGACACATCCCACCTCCAAATGCCACCAAGAATACTCAGAACGACTTTGGCTAAGGCAAGGGAAGAGGGTGGTTAGCTCATTCTCAGGTTTGTTACCTTGGCTGGGTAAGTCAAGTAGTCCTGTCTCCAGACCTACCTTGTCCAGGAAACCCTCTCTCTTCAGCCACTGCCCTCCATCCAGCTGCAGCACAGGGGCAATTAGCTTGTCCTGCCAAAGTCTTCCTTTAAACTATCTGTTCTCTGGGTTGCCCACAAACCCCTCCTCTCTGCCATCCCTTTTTCAATCCTTCCCCTTTTCTTCATGCTGCCTCTTCTAGTCCCTCCCATCCAACCTGCCTCCCCTCCCCAAATGCAGGAGAGGCCTTGGTCACCTCTTGCACGACCCTCTGCAAACAAATCCCAGGCTTCTCTGGTCTCCACACTTCAGCAGAGCTTTAAAAACTACAAACCCAGTATGTGACACATACCAACAACCCCAGCTAACAAGTTCTTAATGTCTGCCTGTGTCCAGCCGGATCCAGTTCTCACTGTTTATCCAGTCAATCTCTCTGGCCACACAATCTGGCCCCTTCAGCCTCTTCAGCACTAAGCAGAGATTGTCTTTCCAAACTGGGGATGCCTTCTCTGTTGTCTGTGCCTCCGGACCCTCCATTTTCTTCTTCCATCTAGCTCAGGATCCACTGCCTCTGCCCTCACCTCAGTTTCCAAGGTCCTTCCCCTATTAACAGCATCCCTCCGCCCCCCTTCTGCAGGGTGGGCAGCTCTGTAGCCACAGCTTGGGTGGGGTGTAGGGTAGGGAGGCCTGGGGATTTTATTCCCACCCTCTCGCTGCCCTGACCTCAGAAGCTTAGGACCCCAGTTGGATCGTATCGCTGGCAGCAGACACCGCAGGCCGGGTCGAAGGGCCAGGCAGTGCTGGTTTCTCCTCCAGCCTCCCGGACTCAAGCGCGGAAGAACCCGGGGCAAAAGGCTGCACCTCTCGGAGCTTGGGCCTCCTCATATCTGCGCAGTGCGCGCAGACGGTCGGTAGCCTAGTGACCAGCCCGCTCTTCCTCCTCCACTCCTATCCAGCCACGCTGGGGGGGGAGGTGCGAATCGGCGGGTCCCGAGAGGGAGCTGTTAGGGACAGCCCGTCCACCCCCGCCCGGGTGGGCAATGAGTAACCAGCTCCGCGACCAGGGTGCTCTTTGGACGGAGAGGGACAAAAGGCCCTGTGTGCGCTGCGGGTTACTGATTTACCGTCCCCTTCACCCCCCTCTGCCGAGCGGACTTCTAGGTCCTCTTCGTAGGGAAGGGGCAGTTGCCCGGGCCCCGCCGCCGCTCGCCCCCTAGCGGCTGGGGGCGCAGTAAGGGTTCGCACAGGTCCCGGCTCACCTCGAGCCTCCGCCGCCTCACCCTGCAGTGTCGGGCTCACCTGAGTCCTCCTCCGGCAGTCTCTCAGCTCCCGCCAGCCCCGACTCCCGCGCCCAGTGGGGACCACACGCCCTCCCCAGACGACCACAGGCTCGGCCCGAGACCCAGGAATGCATCCGCAACCGCAGCGTGGCCGGGGGCGGCCCCGCTCCCCGCCCAGCTCCCGCCCCGCCCCCTCGGGCCCCACCCCTTCTGGACCAGCTCGACCCTGACAGCCGCGTGGCTGCGGGTGGCACAGTGCCCCGCCCACCCGAAGGCCAGCCCAGCGAACCCACCCAATCTTGTGGCCCCGCTCAAGTCTACTGGACTCCCCTCAGACCCCGCCTCCCGGCCCACCCAGCCCAGGTTTCCAACTTCTAGCCCCTTGCAGGGAATCCTGCAAGGGAATCTTCAATCCTAAGGGAACTGGACCCAGCAGTCCTGACCAACTCTTCCCGCAGACCTTGGCTTGTTTGGTTCCTCTGACTGGTGTGCCACCACCATGTGGTGGGATCAGACAGAACCCCTCTGCATCCCTCCCATCCGTTCTCTGCATAGCTTTCAGAGTGATCTTTAAAATAGAAATCAGACTTGACCAACCACAACTCCCCCTTAAAAACCCGTAGTTCTCTATAAAGAGAACCCTGGGGGGTTCAACGGGTTAGGACGCAGCACTGCAAGCTCCCCGCAGCTGCTTTAGTAGAGTTTGATCCCCAGCCCAGAGATGACCCATGTGGTGCAGCAGACCTCTCCTAGTAACAGGGTGGTCCCTAGGAAAAAGGGAAGTTCCAGGTTCCCTGCCCCACCCAGAAGGAGGGTGGAGCTGAGGAGAGAAAAAGGAGAGAAGGGAAGAAGGAAGCAGGATGGAGAACAAGACAGAGACCTAAGGAAGCCACATGGAGCAGCAAGCATGTGATGAAGAAACCATGCTTATTTCCTGACCCTGGACTGGCTAAGGCAGATGTGGGGAGTCACCTGTAGGGAGGTGACTATGGCAGTGTTTATATTGATTTTGATTTTGCTCTTTTGTTGTCAGATTTGTCTGGCCATTTCTGACCCTTGGCCAGAAGGTGCTTTAGTCTTGTAGCGGGCTTTCAGGTCTTGCTTTGGGCCAATCCCTTTTGGGTTGACTTTTGCCCACGAGGGGATGGGTAACTTCAGGTGTTTGATTTAGAAGTTATATTCTTTGTGTTCCGTATTGTATATTTACTGTATTAAAGTCCCTTTTCATTGAAGTTTTATATGTTTTGTCTTGTTGCAGCAGATGGCAGAACCCATTAGAGCAGGCAGGTTTTGGGGCTTCAGGGGTGCCCTGTAACAGTTTCATCTCATTCTTAGCTCTGAGCTCACTTACTAAGATAAGCCCATTGGACTTACCTTGCGACTTCTCTCTTGAAACTGGAGAAAGAAGCAGGGAGTGAAGTGATTTTGAGCAGATTGGCAGGACTTGGCGGGACTCAAAAGTGTCAGCACCACAAACATGATCTTGTCAGTTACTCCATTAGTAAATTTCCTCATTAATGAAACAGGTATCTTAACAGTACCATCCTCAAGAAATTGCTGCAAAAAAACGAGACATGCTAGTATGTAAAGCCTTTAAAACACTGCACTTGCTTCGATTATTTAGGATCTGTTATTTCTTCATTGCATATTCTAGAATTGTAACTAAACAGCTGTGTACATAGAAGGCAGGAAGTGCCTGGTGACCATAGGTGCCCTGCTGGGCTCAGGTTTGATTTGCTTGCAAACACTTCTCTCCAGAGCATCCAAACTGCGGTCAGACTAGAAAGTCAGCCGACCTTTGGTCTACCCAGTCCTTACCTGAAGTCCAGCCCTCCAGCTCCACTCCCCTCCTCTGGTAGTCCCTGGGCCGGAGTCAGCGGGCGTCTCAGGTTCACCTCCAGGTTAGCCCGTCGGGGATAACCGGCCTGGAGGGAGCAGCGTCCTTTCCCATTGTTATGTGGAAGAAGCTAGTGCTTTCCGCCCTTACTCCCAACAGTGATAGAGGCTTTTCCTTTGCATAACCAAAAGATCCATTAAAGCAATTGAAGTTTTTTCTTTTCCTCTTCAAACAAAAGAGTGGTCTCCTCCCAAAGATAAAACCGAAAAGAATTGACTATCTTTTAAAAACAGCACGTCGGGTTTCCTATTCCTCCCTCTCCACCCAGTGTTCTTCCTTGCTGGGCCTTCTGGGCAAGGATTATGGCTCCTGGCACAGAATGCCCAGCAGTCGAACTAATGAGGACCTCCTGCCCTGAAGTGGCCTCCAGAACTCTCTGACAAACTCAACTCCCTACTTCTGGTCCTTGGCTGGCTCTCTGTTGTGAGTGTGGTCGTGGGGAAGAGGGGAGGAAGACAGAGGGAGTTGCCAGCAGGAGCCGGACACCACATAGCTTTCATCCAACTTCTAGGGCACTTTCTGGGTTACCTGAGCCAAAGGCAAAGCGAAGATTTTCAGCCTCCCTGCTGGGATGCCTGGTCCCTTAGACTGGCAACCCCAAGTCACACAGACCTTGTTGGGAATCCCCTCTGATAATTTCAACCTTTTACTCTGACCGTCTGCAATCTTTCTCATTTTCTCCCTGTCCCACTAAAGGTTGAATTTAATGTCTCTTTCAAAGACTTTCAAACATACACACATCCCTAGTAGGGGCCAGCAGCCTGCCA